GGCTGGGTGGGGCGGGAGCCCTGTGGAGCCAGTACTGGACCCTGCTCTGGGCAGCCTGTGCTCAGCGTCTGGACCTCAGTTTGGGACCCTGGAGGGACCCCGGAGCAGCGGCACCGGCACCGCCGCCGAGTCGGGGTGAGTGGTGGCCTTGGGCGGGCGTGTGGGAAGGCTGGAGCCCCCTCTCCGTTAGTCACCTCACTCAGCTGCCAGCCTGACTACAAAAGCAGGCCCTTTAAAATGAACACCCCCTGGCTCCCCTGCCCCTCTGCAACCCGGGGATCCAGGCTATACCTTCTGAGCCTTCTAGGCAAAGTCTTGCTTTTCACCCTCGTCTTGAGTTTGGGGGGATGCCTCCTCTCTCCCCCCATCGTCGCGTGGGCAGTGGTTGTAGAAAATGGAGGCCTGTTTGCAGGCGCGAGTCATTTCTCCCATTAGCGTCCCTGCCTCAGGAGTGTGAGAAGGAGCTGGCTTCTCTGTGTCACAGCCTGTTTCATCAGTCTCTTATCCGGAGCTGGGACCAAGGTGAGGAGAAAGGGGCACTGGGAGCGACGCCAACCCCAGTTGACCTTTCCCTATCAAACCGTGCCCCCTCATCTGCAGTCTTCTGCCAAGCCTTGGGGTCTGCTGGTGATCAGAGCCGCCTTTCCTCATCCTCTCAGACCACCGAACTTCTGCAACAGCTCTTCCCTCCTCTCTTGGATGCCCTTCGAGAGCCCAAGTCAGGGCTGCTCCTCTGTCAGCCTCCAGGTGAGACAAGCAGCTGGGGTTGGAGAAATAGGAGCACATCTGAGGCTATCTCCTTTATTCTTTCCCTGTGTTCTAAAGGCTGGCTCCTCCCAGAGGTGCTCCATGACCCCTCAGATACTTGTCCCTCCCCTCCCCAGGCCCTGTACCCCTTGCCCTGGGGCTCTGCACCTTGCAGACAACCTTGCTCTGGTTTTGGGGCAGAGCTCAGCAGCATCTGGCAGCATGGGCCCCAGGTTCCTTCCTGCTCCTGATCCAGAAGGACTTACCTGTAAGTAGCTAGGGATGGGGAGGGGAGCAGCCTAGGCTGGGCTCAGACCTCACTCCCTGTTTCTGCCAAAGCCTCTGTTAAATCAGGCAGAAGTTCTCTCTAGCCTGGCCTCAGAGGACAGCTTGGCCCTGGAGGTGGAGCAGCAGCTGGGCCTAGAAATCCGGAAGCTGACAATACAGATCCAGGTGAGGAGAGCAGGGACCCCGACAGTGGCTAGCTTTTGTGTTGGGGATGGGCGTGGGGCACAGAACATCTCAGAGACTTGGAATCTTCTTGGAGTCTCTGCTGAATTTATCTTTGTTGCTTTGTTCATTTTTTGTTCTACTTAACTTTTTATTATGGAAAATTTCAAACATACACAAGTAGAGAGAAGGGTATAATGGAGTCCCATATTCCTACCACAGAGGCTTTAACGATGATCAACGCATGGTCAATTTTGTTTTATCTATGTATCCCTTCCCCCGTGCCAGCCTCTCATTTGGTCATGTGAACGACCACTGATGATCATTGCCTAGATTCATGATTTCTTTTCTTTTTTGTGTGTTAATCCACACCCGAGGATATTCTTTTTTTTTTTTTTTTCCAATAAATAAATGAATTTATCATCAGCACCTGTCCTGCCATGTTCCACAGGAAAAGCAGGCCCACCCTCCTGCCCGCCACCGGGGTCACGGGAGCTCCAAGGCCATAGGTTCCCATCAGGAGGGAGAAGGTCCGAAGGGTGCAGGCGCAGACCCGAGGATATTCTTTTCCATTGATTTTTAGAGAGGGAAAGGGAGAGGGAGCTAGAGAGAGAGAGAGAGAGAGAGAGAGAAACATTGATTGGTTGTCTCCTGCTTGTGCCCCCATGCATTCAGTACCCCAGCCTTCAGTCTGAGGGTCAATGCTCTAACCACTGAGAAAACTGGCTAGGGCTAGATCCATGATTTCATTAGGGGGTGCAAAGTGGTGATATTCCAATTCTATCATTTCTTTTTCTTTTATTACTTGGATTACTCCTATAAAATGAAACTTGCCCTCATTAATTATTCAATTATTCTGAGGTCTATTTTGTAGAGAAAAAGCAAGATAAATGGTTGAGTCCTTTTATTTACTAGTTTTTAGTACAATGTTTCTCCTCTTTTTAAAACATATAATTTGTACTTTATTAAAGTAATCCATGTCCAGCCCAGCTGGTGTGGCTCAGTTGTTGAGCATCAACCCACGAACCATGAGGTCATTGGTTCCATTCCTGATCAGGGCACATGCTCAGATTGTGGGCTCAAGCCCCAGTGGGGGCATATAGGAGGCAGCTGATCGATATCTCTCTCATTGATGTTTCTATCTCTCTATCCCTCCCTCTCTCAAATCAATAAAAACTTATTTTTAAAAAAGTAATACATGTCCATAGTTTAAAAGTGAAATAGAATACAATTTTAGAAAGTTTCTAATGTCCACTCCCACCTGATTCCTGTTCCACAGTGGTAACTTTCATCCACTCTTGGCTGTTTCTTCTTCCTTCTTCTTTTTAAATATTTTTTTATTGATTTCAGAGAGGAAGGGAGAGGGAGGAATAGAAACATCAATGAAGAGAGAGAATCACTGAACGGCTGCCTCCTGCATGCCCCTACCAGAGATGAGCCCACAACCCGGGCATGTGCCCCGACTGGGAATTGAACCATGACTTGCTGGTTCATAGGTCGAAACTCAACCACTGAGCCTCGCAGGTTGGGCTTGGCTGTTTCTTCTAACATTTCTTATTTTCTTCTAAATTTATGAATAAAACTATTATGCTTCCATTTTATCTATTCTTACTGTGGAAGATGTCTATATCATTTGTCTTCTCTTCCTACCCACATTTCTCCTCATTGCCCTGAATAAGGGCAAAGCTGTAGAGTTCAGTCCTTGTCTCCCTGCTCTTTTCTCTCTGCATTCCTGCTACTCACAGTGCCTTGGTGCTATGTACCTCCACTCCAGCCCCAGTTTAGCCCTAATCTAGCATCTGCATCTGCCTCTTGGACATTTCCACCTTCATTTACTGCTGCCTTCTTCAACTCAGCATGCCCCAAAGCAGGCTCCTTATGATTAGGGTGGACAGGGATGGTCATGGGAGCTCTGAGGACAGAAGACAAAGGCGGGCATGTGGTGACAGAAGCTCCATACAAGGCCTATGGCTCACGGGTGGCTTGGCAGCTTTAGAGGAGTGGCAGGAGGTGGACAGTTCATAGTTCCTTGGGAGAATAGTGGAGAGACGGCCCGACCAAAGCAGAAACTCCCTTTGTATGTAGTGGGTTTGTGTGTGTTTGGGGTGGGGTGGAGGACTGTGGAGGAGGAAGCAGATGGAGGGCATTGAACACTAGTGCACAGAATCAAGACTTTATCTAATGAGTGATAGGGAGCCACTGCAAGAGTGGGAGGGGAACAGTGAAGGTTGATGGTGTTTGATCCAGTTACAGTGGTCAGGATGGAAGGGAGATGAGGAGACATACTGTCCAGCTCTTGGTAGCAGTGGTGAGAACAGAGCAAAAGGAACAGAGGTAGTGTGCTCACTGTGTGAACCAAACACTGTACAGAGCACTCTGATGCCTTGCTCCTCTATCTGGGCATTCCACCACATACAGTACTGGGATGAAAAAGAACTGATGTTGTGAGTTTTCTCCCCAACTGGACTGTACTGTCCGAGAGAGAGAGAGAAAGTGTCTCATCGTGTGATCTTGTATTTACTGAGTATTGAGTGCAGGGGTTCCCTACCAATATCAATTGACAGAGGTGTCATTTCCTTGGCATAAATAAGGAAGGAGGGGGTACTGACTTTGGGGAGGAGAGAAGAGGTTTGGTTTAGAGAGGCTATTGTCAGGATATGTACCAGGAACCGCATGGGCTCCAGCCTCACCCCCATGTCCAGCCCCCCAGGCTCCTTCCTCTCTTCAGGCTTGCTGGCATTTAGTCACCTTTTCTTTACAGACCTGCTACTACACACCCTATTTCTTGGGGTTCTTCTTCTCCAAGATGGGCTCTAGAGACCCCCTCTTTGCCATCTTCTCCCCCTTCAAAAACAAAACCTAGACCTAGCTGGTTTGGCTCAGTGGACAGAGTGTCGGCCTTTCAGACTGAAGGGTCCCGGGTTCAATTCTGGTCAAGGGCACATGCCTGGGTTGCAGGCTCAATCTCCAGGAGGGGTCGTGCAGAAGGCAGCCAATCAATGATTCTCTCTCATCACTGATGTTTCTCTCTCTCTCTCTCTCTCTCTTCCTCTCTGAAATCAATAAAAATATATTTTTTTAAAAAACAAAACCTATCAAACCGAAGAAATCAAACCAACACATGGGCCTTTTCTTACTTTATGGGTTGCACTGCTCTGGAGAAATGCAAGTAGGCTGTCAGAATACTCAGTGTAAGGACATCCCAAAGGTTCTTGAATCTCAGAAAGTTAGTCATTGCTCCTGATCTACACACAGTTCCTGCCTTCCTTTCATAAATGATAGCCAGATATTGTACAGCTCCCTTTTCTTCAGCCTCTCCCTAGCATTTGCTTTTGAACATTGGTTGTGGTGAGGGTCTCTCTCTCTTTTTCCTATTAATGTTTCTATAGGAGAAAATTAATCTGGAGGATTTCTATCCTCTGAACCAAGCTGGTAAGAGCAGGATAATCTTAGGGCAATTATCCATAATCTTTTCTGGGTTCAGACCTTTTGGAAAATCCAGTAAAGGAAATGGCATCTGTCCTCAGAAAATGCCTGAACCCACACAATTATGTATACAATTTTGTTCTTGGGTTTTATGGATGCCAGGTTAAACACCTCGGATTTAGAAAAGCATCAGAACTTGACAAGCCCCTAACAGATAATCCCCTTTTACTTTGTCACTATGCCCACAGCTCCTGCCTGAAGAGTCACTGAGTCTCTTTTTTCAACAATGCTATAAACAAGCGACACAGGGCTTCGAACTTCACATGCCACGGGGTCGGTACTGGCGGCATCGTCTTTGTCCTGGTAACTCCTCATTCCAGCATCCTCAGGGTTCCCAGGGGGTAAGAGTATCCAGACCCCTCCAAATCCTACCCCCACACTGGAAATCCTACTGTCTTCCCCCAGTCACTTCATTAGGTGCTCAATAGATCTCAGTAACCTTATATCCTGTCCTTCCTTTTCTCTTACCCCAGAACTTCCCAGCATTCCTAGTGAGTATGCTGGGTTGGTGGTCCGCACTGTACTGGAGCCTGTATTGCAAGGATTGCAGGGTTTGCTACCTCCAGCCCAGGCCCCTGCCCTTGTCCAGGCATTGACAGCCATCCTGAGTGCCTGGCTTGACCACATCCTCACCCATGGGATCCGGTTCAGGTGGGGAGAAAAGGAAGTAGTGGCTGGGGGATGAATGGAACTGGAAAAGGGGATAAATGGGGCAGAGCAGTTTAGGGAGACCAGAGGGTCAGGTGGTCACATTGTACCTCGGCCTTCAGCCTGCAGGGGACACTGCAGCTTAGACAAGATTTTGGAGTGGTCCGAGAGCTGTTGGAAGAAGAGCGGTGGGGCCTGTCCCCTGAACTTCGCCAGAATCTGCTCATGCTCAACATCTTCCAGCAGCTGGATGGGGCCCTGCTGTGCCTATTGCAGCAGCCCCTGCCCAAGACTCAAGTCCACAGAAGGCCTCCTTGTTGCTGTGAGTCACTCCCCCTTCTCAACTCCAGGCTCTCTGGGCCCTCACTTACTACTTTAAAGGCCCCATTCCCCAAACTCATCATTGATCTGGCTTCAGCAACTCCCCAGCAGCCATCTCCCTTCCACTCCTGCCTTACCAGGTGCATGTAAGGAGGTCCAAACCTCGGAATTGCCCAGCAGCAGCCTCAACAGCCTGGAGAGCTTGGAGCCCCCTCTTCGGCCTGGAGCACCCCCAGCACAGACAGCTCAGCTGCTGAGCATGCTTTGGGGTGGGGGACCTAGCCCCGAGGCTTACCTGGTGGGAAATCAGCAGGCCTGGCTGGCCCTGAGGCAGCACCAGCGCCGCCCCTGGTGGCAACTGCCTTTTCTTTCCTGCCTGGAGACCAGTCCTGAACCCTAAGGAGTCTGATCAGCAGTCAGGAAGTCAATGCTCTGCATTTCTGGCTGGGAAAGCCCAGACATTGGAACTGCCTGTTAAAGAAGCCTACACCTGGAAGCTTGGAAGAAAACATACGTGAGGACAAACTACACAGCCTGGGCTTACAAGCTGAGAATCCAGGGTCACTCCAGTATCTGGAATCCAGAGTAAATGGCAATACCACAGCCTGGAGCCAGGAGGCTCAGGCCTAATTCCCCATCAGTGAAGACATCTCGGGGCTAGACACTGGGAGGAGGGCCATAGGGTTGTATCCCAGAGGAAAGGGAATGAGAAAAAGCTGCAGGAAACAGAGAGCCTAGATGCCACTTAAGTGTCCAGAGTCAGACCAAACATAAAGTTAGTACATCAGGAACCGGAGGTGAAACAGTCTGTAGCTGGATCTGTCCCCAGGCTTGTATTACCCTGTCCTCCCCATTCCTGCTTTCAGCCGTGGGACCATATTGGGCTGCAGGACCTTCCCATTTAAGCTTTGGTTACTCAGAGTTCAACAGGTTTAATTTTCAATGTCCCTGCCGTGGTGACCGTGTCCTCCTCCTAAGGGACAGCACCCAAGATGGTGTTGACCTAGGTGGGCACAGCAGGGAGCGGAAGGGGAACGCAGGAGACGGGCCTGTTTTCGGAGCCAGGTGCAGGGCTTTACACAGCCTTTGCTGTGGCACAACAGGGCTATGAGTGGTGGTAGGATTCGCTGACCGATTACTTCGGGCCCCTCTGTCACCTGTGCCGAAAGCATCGCTCCTCGTCTGGGGCTGGGGAGCCCAGGCCTGCCGTCCCACGCGATCCGGGACGCGGAGCCTGTACTCGGCGGAAGCAGGGGGGCGGGGCCTGCGGCTGCGCGGCCACTCACAATCTTCCCTGACGGCACCTCTGGGGCGAGTGCTTCCGGGGCGGAGGTTACCATGGCGGCGGCGGCCTTGGCTCGGCTAGGACTCCGGGCCGTCAAGGAGGTTCGGGTTCAGTTCTGCCCCTTCGAGAACAACGTGGAGTCTACGAGGTACCGGGGGAAGGGAGAGGGAACGGAAAAGCACGCACTTCTCTGCCGCCGGGGGTCTCACCCCCTTCGGCCTGGCGCTCACGCCGCTCTCCCACCGCAGGACCTTCCTCCAGGCGGTGAGCCGCGAGAAGGTCCGCGCCACCAACTTGAAATGCTCCGTGATTGTGGATGTGAGGCACGACGGCTCCGAGCCCTGCGTGGATGTGCTTTTCGGTGGGCTCGCGTGGGGAGTCGGGCGGGAGGGGCGGCAGGCAGCCCGCGCTCCCTGGGCCCGGTTGGCCTTCTCGTACCTCATTCATTCGCTTCTTCCCCAGGAGACGGGCACCGCCTGGTGATGCGCGGCGCCCACCTCACCGCCCAAGAAATGCTCGCTGCCTTCGCCTCCCACGTCCAGGCCCGGAGCGCGGCGGGGAGCGGGGACCCACCTGGCGCTGAGGCGGGCCGCTGACAGCGCGTAAGAGGCCAACGAGCAGATCCTAGCCTGGGCCTTAGAGAACATTATCCACGAAAAGCTCGACTTAATCATCCAGATCGCTGTCTGGAGGCCGCAGACACCATCCCCACCCCCCAAAGAGCCCTATGACTACACATCTAACCAGTGCTTCTGGGATGAGACGATCCGGGAAGGGCCTAGACAAACTTGAATTTATTTCATTTTTTAACCATCGCTCACGCTTAACCGTTTTGAATTTGGCTTCCCCCACCACTCACTCAAGTATGATACCTCTTACTCTTATTAGCTAAATCCAGTGCTGTTTTCTCAGCCCTGAGCTCTCCACCTAAGTAGCATTTGCCACTTTTAATTCATTCCCTATGGAACTTCTCTTCCTTTTCCTTCTCTTAAACATAAACTCCCCCCCCCCTTTATTTTTGGGGTATCTCATCTTCTGTTATAACTTGAACTACCCTTTTGGGTTAAACCATGCATTTCTGTTTGGGTCTAATATTAATTTCTGTGCTACAGTCAGGTTACCTACTATCGATTTTCTCCGAATCTTACAAACATTCTTTGTTCAAAATACAATTGATAATCTTACATACACATATACTTGCCTCTCCCTGACTTCCCCATTCCTTTTACAGGCACTTCATGTGCCCAGCCACCTGGGCTGGAAATCACAGCATTGTCTCTGGCTCTGCTGTCTCCTTTTCCTTGCATACCCAGTCAGTAAGTTCGTAGTATTCTATGTTAAACAAAAGCCCCTGAAATGCTCTCTTCATTCCCATTCACTCTCCTGTATTATTGTTACATTCTCCTTTTTTTTTCTCATCATTTTTGCTGCTGCTTAATTTTATCTTTCCAAAGCACATCACTGGTTATGTCTCACTACTACTTGTTTCAGAGAACAGCACCTAAAGTACTTTTCATACAGTTACCACCCATTAGTGTGGATCGTGAATCAATTTAGGAGGTTAAATCAGCCTTTAATAAAGTAAAATAGAATAAAAAGTATCAGTGCATGCATGGCACATGAAATGAGAAGTATTCTTTTAAGAAAGTTAACTTTTAAGTATATAATTATAAATCTTTATACAAGGTATCCCCCCAAAATGTACACACACTTTAATAGCTGATAGCTCAATTTTGAAAATGAAATGTATTTTAATAAATACTGCCTTTATAATTATTCAAAGTGTGTGTATACATTTCTGGGGGGACACTATATGTGTGAGTATAGATATATAAACTACATGTACATGTGTACATCTGAATGTACTTGGTTACAACATAGTATATATATTTTTTTACTATGGCTTACAGTGGTTCTCAACCTTCCTAATGCCCCGACCCTTTAATACAGTTCCTCATGTGGTGACCCCCAACCATAAAATTATTTTCGTTGCTACTTCATAACTAATTTTGCTACTGTTATAAATCGTAATGTAAATATCTGATATGCTATATGTGTTTTCCGATGGTCGCGACCCACAGGTTGAGAACTGCTGGCTTATAGGAAAAGATGGTTGCTAGCCACTGGTTTAGAGAACTTCAAAATGCCCAGCTAGGCAATCCAGGATCTCTAGACACTGCTTGCTGGGTGCTTTGCCAAATACATTTTCCATGAGCCTCCTACAGCATTACTGTACTGCTTCTCTGCTTAAAAGGGTGCTATCTTGCCTTAGCTGGTTTGGCGCAGTGGATAGAGCGTAAGCCTGCGGACTAAAGGGTCCCAGGTTCGATTCTGGTCAAGGGCACATGCCCAGGTTGCGGGCTGTGATTCTCTCTCATCATTGATGTTTCTATCTCTCCCTTGTCCTTTTCTCTCTGAAATCAACAAAGATATATATATATATATAATTTTTTTTTTTAAAAAAGGGGTGCTATCTACAAAGGACTGGTTTTTTCCCTCCCCCTTTAAAAAAAGAAAACTACCATAAGACAGTATAGTGTAGTAAAGATCCTGAATGCCTGAGGTTGAACTTGCAGCTTTACTCTTTTTTTTTTTAATATATTTTATTGATTTTTTACAGAGAGGAAGGGAGAGAGAGAGTTAGAAACATCGATGAGAGAGAAACATCAATCAGCTGCCTCCTGCACATCCACTGGGAATGTGCCTGCAACCCAGGTACATGCCCTTGACCGGAATCGAACCTGGGACCTTTTAGTCCGCAGGCTGACGCTCTATCCACTGAGCCAAACCGGTTTCGGCCCAGCTTTACTCTTAAGTAGCTGTGTAACTTTTAGACAAATTACTCTCAGTGCCTCTTTCTTCTTTTGTAAAATAATAATGCCTACCTCATAAGATTGTTGAGAGGATTAAAGAATTGACATCTGTTAACACCTAGAACATGATTGGGAATGAACTAAGTGCTATGTAAGAGGCCTGTTGTCCTACTCTATGTATTCCATAAGAAGGCAGGGTTCTTTGGAAAAGACATTAATGCCAGGGAAAATAGAAGACAGCAGGAAAAGAGGAAGACCAAGTATAAGGTGAATTGACTCCATAAAAGAAGCCATAGGCATGAGTTTCCAGGAGTTGAGCAGGGCTGTTGAGGATAGGACACTGGGGACAAAACTCATTTATGGCTTGCCAGGAGTCTGAGCAGACTCAATGTCATGTAATACACAAGAAGCTTTACACTACAGTCAAAGTTACAGCCTAGATTTGAATTTCCCAGCTCTAGTTAATTGGCTATTATCTTTGGCCACTCTTAAGCACTCCTTATTTTTTAAATGAGATGGTTCAAACATTGCTGTAAACATATGAACTTTAGGTTCGGGCTGTTTCCTCTGTCCCCAGCACCTTGTATAGTGCCTGATATAGTGTGTACAATAAACATTTGTTGGATTTACAAATATTTAGTATCTACCTTGTGCCTATAACTTCCATTAGTACTAAGATACAAAGATGAAGAATAAAACTCAGGTATGTAATAAATGCTATAATAGAGATGTGGACCAGGTGCATTGGTAGTAAAAAAGACAGGACTGACCATTGGGTTTGGTTTAAAGGTGATTTTTTTTGGTGTTAATCCTCACCTGAAGATATTTTTTTTCCCATTGATTCTTAGAGAGAGTGGAAGGGAGGGGGAGAGATGGAGAGAGAGAAACATCAATATGAGAAAGACACATCAATTGGTTGCTTCTTGCACATGTGCCTTGACTGGGCCTGGGAACCGAGCCTGCAACCGAAGTACATGCCCTTGACGGAAATGAACCTGAGACCTTCCAGTCTGAGGGCCAACCCTCTAACTCAGTGGTCGCCAACTGGTGGTCCGCAGACCACTGGTGGTTCGTGAGGTCCAAAAGGTTGGTGACCGCTGCTCTAACTACTGAGCCAAACTGGCTAAGGCAGAAGGTGATTTTTGAATGAGCAAAAAGTCTACCAGTGTAGGGTGGGGCCAGAAATCGGATTATAGTGAAATTGGAGTAGACATGCAACATAAAATATTTTATATAATGAGTTTCCATGAGAGGTGTGATAATAGCTAGAGTAGCATAAGGGTGTGGAGTAGGGTTTTTAAATGACAGGGATTTGTACTTTATGAAAATACCTTTTGTGGAGGAGAAACTGTTCCATGAGTGACTACTGCCCCACTGGCCAGCTAGATCCTGGTCAAAACACGTTGCTTCCTGAAAATCCCCCAGACTATCTGATCTACCTGTCCCCTATGCCCCAGACATGCTGGTTCCCAGAAAGCACTGTTGTCCTGCTCCAGACAAGTATACAAGGCATTTCCCCCTTACCTGGGGTGGGTTACACCCCTTAGCGCCTGCCAAGTGGCATGGAGGATATTCCATGTTGTCTTTGCCACAAGGCACACCTCATAGGTAAATTCCCTTGATAAATTCTTGATGTATAGCTGCCTGGCAGGGGAGATACCATGATCACAAAGGTGGAGAAGGTGGTTTTCCCAGGGTGAGGCTTATCCATTGCATTCCAGATATGCTGACCCCTGCGGTTTCCTCAAATGTGGGAAATTCACCTGCAAAAGTTTTCCTAGTGGGAGCCTAAAAATTAAATTCAATGAAATGATGGAGCTTCCCATCTATCAGCCCCAGGAAATTTTAACGCCTTTTATGCTGAGCTGTTGGTTACAAATAAGTGACTGAATCTAAGTTGCATTCTGAACCACCATCAAATGTAATAATTGACTCTTCTAGGTCAAACTGAAGTGCTCCTATCTACAGCCTTCCCTAATCTGGACATAGGCAATCCTTTCCTTAAGCTCCGTTGCTTCCTGGGTTGTAGGAAAGGAAAAAAAAAAAAGAATTCTCTAAGTGCATGCATCACCATTATGGTCCTTTCAGGGTTCCTCTAGAAAGATAAGGAATCATAGACTGAGTGGGTCGCTGACAGACACTGCTGGAACAGATCTCAGGCTTCCTCTGGGTCCACTTTAGCCCCCTCCTACTAGGAAAGTGGGCAAAATGATCCAGTTTGATTCAGATACACCTGGGTTCCAAGCTAGCCACTTCCTATCTCTGTGACCAGGGCCAAATTATTTGAACTTTCTAAGCCACAGCTTTCAGCCACCAGATTGGGTCATGATGATGAAACCTAGGGTCATTACGACTTTCATTAAATTTAGTTTTAAATCCTAGCCCTAGAAATAATACCAATCTCTCCATATACAGAGTTGGGCAAAAGTAGGTTTACAGTTGTACATATGGAAAATAATACAATAATTAAATAAGAATAAACTTTCACATATTCACAACTGTGAATATCCCTTAGAGACCTAGCCTGTTCCCCATTATCAGCATCCCCTTCTCCCCCCACCTCCAAGGCAGCAAAAGACAGTAGCTCAGATGACTAATAGTCACATGGTCCAGACCTCTGGCAGGCTAGATAACATTGATAGATTTATTTTTTAATTTAAATTTTTATTTTATTTTTAAAATACTTCTTTAGCCCTCACTGGTTTGGCTCAGTGGATAGAGCATCGGCTTCAGACTGAAGGGTCCCGGGTTCGATTCCGGTCAAGGGCACGTGCCCGGGTTGCGGGCTCAATCCTCAGTATGGGGCGTGCAGGAGGCAGCCGATCAGTGATTCTCTCTCATCATTGATGTTTCTCTCTCTCCCTCTCCCTTCCTCTCTGAAATTAATAAAAATATATTTAAAAAATAAAATACTTTATTGTTAAAAGTATTACATATGTTTCTTTCTCCCTCTCTGAAATCAATAAAAAAATACTTTTAATTAAAAGAGAAAAAGAAAAAAAGAAACATCAATGATGACAGAGAACCATTGATCGGCTGCCTCCTGCACGCTCCCTACCTGAGATCGAGCCCGCAACCCAGGCATGTGCCCTTGACCTGAATCTAACCTGGGACCCTTCAGTCCGCAGGCCCACGCTCTATCCACTGAGCCAGACCAGCTAGGGCTGTTCCTAGTTTTGAATGATAACTTCCCAGTTCTCTCCAGCAGTGTGGGAGTCTTCCCCTGCATCAGGAGGTCACCAGTTGGATTCCTGGTCAGAGCATACGCTAACACTCGGGATAGCAAATATATAATAAATATATTTAAGGGAGCCTAATGGGAGATTTTTTTTTTCTACTAGCCTGTGGACTTCGTGAGGATACCAAATAAACGTTGACCCAATAGACACGGTTCAGGAGACCCAACGCGTGCCACATCGACACGCCAGTTCCGGGCTAGGGAACTTAAGCTGACGTGCGGGGCGGGACTTCCGGCGAGAGGCGGAAGCGGAACAGGAGGTGCAGCGTACAGATGAGTGGCCGCCTGAGCGCTACGCTGGAGCTGGGGCGGAGAGGCAGGACGCAGGTTCTTGGCCGCCCCTCGAAGCTCTCGCGACGCCGACCTCCG